CGCTTGGAGCATTCTTGTAGTAGTCGGCGAAATGCATATTCTTAATCTAGAAGGATAGTTTGAATTGAATGAGGAGGAATAGATCCGGACAGAACAAGATCATCCCCATCATACAAAACGTAATTGGCAGAATCTTGAGATTCGTTGAGTACAACAATTGTTTTGTCACTTTCTCCATTTGGAGTTTCGAATGCTCCTATTTGTAGAAAAGGCCAACCAGTTGTCATACAAACGGAGCCCTCTGGCAAATAATCTGATAGAATTTCGTTTCTTGTTTCAGAATAGATCCAATTGGCGGAAGGACTGTCGCAATCTCCAAAAGTAACCTGCGCTCCCCCACGTGGTCCATAGGCACCTCCTTCATTTTCTAGTCTTTTCAGAACAAGGCAGCGATCAAGATCCCCTTCCAATCTGAACTTAATGTAATCACTGCTCTTGTCCTTGATCATGTCAAAAAGTCCTACGCCTGTATCACCGTCACAGTCTTCCAACGTGATACCTAAGAAACTTTCGTCGACATTATCAGAAACACAAGATTGAGTTGGATTTCCGAGCCAATCGTGCCCGTACACTTGAATATGGCGGTGTTTGTGTTGCCAATGAAATTGTTGACGGGTTGAACCTTCACAAGGCCAAGCAGTAAGTTCAATACCATGGCGGGCCAAATCGTTGACACCTCCCCCGGCAACGTCTTCTCCAGGTAAACGGAAGGCACGGAACCCATCGCTAGAATTATCAACTAAGCCCATCACAGGCCGCGATCCTGGTCTCACATATCGGGAAATGTGACCCATGTAATAATACATTGGTTGAACCGCTGAAATTGGGACGCTAACAATTAGTACAATGATGTATTCAGAATGCAAGACAAAACGCCAAGAAACAACTTTGTGTTTAGATTTGACACTCTTCTTACCTAGTCCAACGTCCAAATACTTTGCTGGAAATCCCAAAGCATTCAATTCTTCTCGGGTTCTTCCATCGCCGACGTTCGGTCCAAAGGTCTTTTTGGAATCAGTCGTCTCCCAATCCATTGTAGGGGGGATATCTGATCCGTCAATGGCTCGATGCGGTACAGCCAAAATGGTTGCATCACATAAGTTGTGCAAGTGGTTCGGACCCCCCACAGAATCCAAAATCAAATTCCATTCCACCCAACCGTTACTTCCAGCTGCTAAGTCTGCCAAGATGGTATGCGCGTATCGTTCCGCTCGGGCCCAATAAACATCGATATCGCCACCCGCATATCCTGTATAAGGACAATGACAAGCCTCGCTGTTAAATACCAGGTGGTCATTTGGGACATCCAGTCTCCTAAGTTCACTTTGCATACGATGCATGTTTGGACTACCCACGGCACCATCTAATAATCGGTCCATTCCTCCAGCATACCAATGGTATGCACTCCCGGTAATATAATTCGAGCTTGGATGGTTCTTGTCAAGAAGTGTTTTTGCCCAAGTGACCAAGTGGTCCTTTCGTAGTGGTTATTGGCAAAAGGGTGCTTTTTGTTAGATTCAAGGCGATTTTATGTCTTCAACAATAAAGAATGGAAACAAATCCACTCGTCACGGTCGGTAGCATGTTCGTACCTTATTGTGATCGAACATAAAAATTCGTATATCTGGGTGATCTCTTTCCAGTTGAGGCCCTAAATGATAACCAACAAAATCGGCTTCCGTCTCGGGTGTATATCCACAAGCCTCCCATGGCGCCGGAAACTCCGGCTCATTTTGAACAGTTATTGCTTTGAGGGGAACTCCATGGTTTTTGTAAGCAGAGATAAATTTTGAGAAGTACAACGCCCACGCTTTTGCATACTTAGAATCTTTTCCCGTGCCCTCTCGCAGGCAACTAGGGGTAGTACTGCCGGTCATCCCGGAAGCATGATCCAAACCAGCCTTGATGTCCTTTTTAGATGATGGCTGTTTCATCCAACTAGGTGGTGACCACGGCGAAGCAAATACATTAAAATCGCCGTCCTCAACTCCCCCCGTGTCTGCATTTGTTTTCTGATTTCCGTCCCCCCAAGCTTTATTGAAAACAGTCATGGCGAGCCGAATCATATCGATCATACCATCCTTTTCAGCATCATGCGTCACATTGGTGTCGAAATGCACCAATTCAAAGTCACCGTCCACCTCGTCGAAGCTATATGATTCAACGGAAAAATCGCAAGAGTTCATATGAACTCTTCCTGTAGTAACAAAGGAACATCTTTTTGTTAGAAAGAACAAGAAAAGAAAATGAAACATCACACCACAGCACCTAGAGCAGTTAGTTCTATTGTGCAGTAGTGCATCAAATTGTTCCTCAAATGCACGAACCGATAGAAGTGCTATGGCACCCACCTATACTGTATCCAATCCCCGTCTCTCCAAACAAGAGTTCCATCAATTGCCTTTTCCCGGCAAGAGATAGTGATTGATAGTTAAGTGAAGCAGCCTCTGTAAATGCCGCACCGAAACCAATAATAGGTTGTCGATCAGGAAATGCGGGTTTGCTGAAGTTTACCTTGAAGATGGCATCGGGAGCACCAAAACCGTTGATATTCGCTGCGTCGGCGCTGCTTTCTTGGCCTGCCCACAACCTAGTCTTTTTTGGCTGAGCAAAGCATGGAATGTGAGACCATTGCTCCGAAGGAGATCCCATGGATGTTTGTAGGATTCCTGCAAATCTTGCATTCTCGCCATATGTTCTGCATAGCGGCCGATTTCTACTGGTGGATGGAGGATCGTCGTCTTGTGATGGCGGGGTTGGTGGCGGAGAAGAGGTAGTGTCTAGAGATGACTGAGGATTCAACGTAATACCTATCAATATGCCTAATCCCACAAGAGAGATTGCCAAAACTCCGAAGCCAAACCACGATTTCGTTCCTCTCTTGGTGCCGTTGTATACATTGCTCTCTTGAACATTTTTGTCCAACAGAGGCTTGGTTTCGTTTTTCATTTTCCTGTCCACTGAAATTAGATCTCGAGAACAATTGCTGTTTTTGGTCAAGAAAGAAAAACGCTCAATGCTCTCTGCCAGATGTATGTCGTGTCGAAAAGCTATTACTTCCCAACACCCAGTATCTCATGTTTCCAAGGTACCTACAGCACTGTATCAGACATCACTGGTCCTGGAATGAGGCGAAGATCAGTCGTTAAGTTTTTTCGCGACGACGGGTACATTGGCGTCCAGATTGCGAAGAATCAAGAGAAGAACCAAAAGATACGATACGTTACTTAGTACAGTAGTACGTACTGTAGTATATAGCTATCCAGTACCGTACAGCACGAGTAGGGTTAAAGATAACAGAAATGAAAGAGGTTGATATCAGCGATCATAACGCTCGATTTTGAATTTTCTACCCCTTACAATTCCGGTGCGTTAGGTACTACCGTACGTAGTCGTAGCACATAAAGATGGTACGAGTACTAGTAGATTTATCGTATCGTTCTGCTCGTACGTTCGTACCGGTTCGTACCAGTACCAAACACACTCGGATGAGAAAGTTCTTTCGGGATACAGAACGTTCGAGTATGTACCGTAATCCTCCAGTTGCTCGCTTTTCAGGTGTAATCACGCGCGCTGGATTACGAAAAGATTACATGTAATCGCGCGCTAACAAACACTAGTTAATTTTCAACTTAAATCTCGCACCTCGATGGATTACAAACCTGCAAAATGGATTACATGTAATCCAAAATTGTATTCAGCGCACTCCTTTGTCCGAGCCTTTTTTCCCCCACAGTAATGCTAGTTGTTTGGCTGAATCGGATTACAACTCCGACAACAAAATTTTCGCGACGGATTACTTTTTTTGAGGTCAATCATCTTTTTGTTTTCAACTGAGCTGAATATACAGCTGAATTAACTGTATCACTCAACTTGGTGCTCTCCTACTAATTTTCTATCAGCATCCTATGTATCAGCATCATCCTCCGTATCGTATTGTTCGTATCAGCGGCTCCTCCGCTGCTGTATCGTATCAGCGGGCTGGCTCCTCCGTATCGTATCATCGAGGGTCCTCCATATCGTATCAGCGGCTGGCTCCTCCGTATCATATCATCGAGGGTCCTCCGTATCATATCAGCGGCTGGATCCTCCGTATCGTATCATCGAGCGTCCTCCGTATCGTATCAGCGGCTGGCTCGCGGCTCGCTCCTCCGTATCGTATCATCGGCTGGCTCCTCCGTATCGTATCAGCGGCTCGCTCCTCCGTATCAGTGTCCTCCGTATCACCATCCTCATGAATGCAGTGATTACTGCAACTGCGTGATTACACGTGAAAAGCGAGCCAACTAGAGGATTACGTAAATAATCGGCCAGCTACTAGCGGTTCAGCAATCACCACTTCGACTGAGTCCAACAAGGTCTCGAGCTCTGCTCTCGACCTTGTTAGACTCAGTCTCAGTGCTGATTGCTGAAGTAATCCGTATATAATCTGATCCCTACTCTGGAAAACCCTCCTTAAGGAAAAAAAAAATTATGTGCAGTCTCGCGCTATCGCGCTCGACCGCACATAATTTTTTTTCCCTTAAGGAGGGTTTTCCAGAGTACGGATCAGATTACATACGGATTACACGTAATCCGCGAGTAGCTTGCCAATTATATCACATACCAGGTACATGCCATTGTGTATTATTATTTCTTTTTTTTTCTCTTGGTGTTAGTAATGTACGGTACGGTACGTACGTACAAGTGTTCCTCACGGAAAATGTGTGCTTTCAACACATTGGGTCATTCCTGATAGTCTAGAAAGTCTAAATTTTGATAGACAGACAGACCAAATTTAGACTTTCTAGTCCAAATTTTGAAGCCCCCCCCCCCACCGGCCTTCAAGATTTCTAAATCTAGACCGGAATCCAAGAATCAAATTCCGTTGTAGGACTCAACTGAAATGGCACGCGCCAAATATAAGAATGGTTAAAAATTTAGTTGCTAATAGAACATTGCACGTCTCTTAAGAAAACATCGACAAGGAGAGGCGCTTAAAACACCGGCGCCATTATGATCCATAGTACTTGTTGAAAGACAAACTACAATGTCCCATGTCTTAGTCACTGCTCTTCTTTATCTTTGATCAAGACAAAGAGAGGACCAACTGCAGGAGGCGCTGTCTCAAGAGAGGACGACAGGGGAAACAATCCCTCACACAATATTCATTCCACAAGCAACAAAGATGTCGACTCCTACTATGCGTACTGGTCCTTATGCTACTATCCCTCCTCCAGTGGCCGCACCAGTCCCAAACAAAAAGAAGACTGGTCGTAAGGGTGGTACTGCAAACTACACGGAAGATGAGCTTATCGCGTTGATGACTCTCATCAAGGAGATCCTTCCCATCGGTAAGAGCGATTGGGACATGGTGGTTTATAAACATGGACAAGAATGGCCCTATGGTAGGTCTAAGGAATCCATCAAGACCAAGTTCAATCGATTGAGGAGAATGAAGATGCCTACTGGGRATYCCAAWATTCCCRAGTCCGTCCGACTTGCAAGAGAAGCCCATCATTTGATTGGAATGAAGGCAAATATTGGAAATGGAGAGGAGACCTTTGATCCAGTCAAAGGTTACATCGATGATGAGGATATTGAGGACTTGGAGGACGCTTTGAACCCAGCAAAATCAAGCAAGACAGCGTCGACTTCCGATACGACCCTCCTGGATGACGAGTCCACCATTGTCGTGGAAGCACCAAAGCCGCCAAAGAAGAGATTATATGGAAGATTAAAGAAGGAAATGGCTGAACAGGATGCTGTTCTCAAGGATTTTCTCATGCAACAGAGGGAAGCTGAAAGAGCAAAACGAGCTGTTGAGATGGAAGCTGAAAGAGTGAAACTGGAAGACGCGAGAGACGAATGTTGGCTTACCATGGCTGAAACAATTGCCTCCTCAATGGCCTCCTCGATGGCCTCCACAGTGGCGTTGGTGCTCACCACCAGTAACAACAAGCGCCCACACACTGAATCCCATGCTGAGAGGAACTAATTTCCATCTTCGGATTAGCTCAGTTAAACAGCAATTAAACGATTAGTTACTAGTATGAGTACTGAAAAACAGCAAAAAGCAAAACAATGAGCAGGATGTAAAGCATAGGAGATTCATGTTAGCGTGCGTTACACCGTGCTGTTCTGAAATTTTGACGTGGTTTTCTGTTCTGCTAGTACTAGCAACAGCATTGGTTTTTGTGCATACCCTTTGTGGGAATCGTTGGAGGCTGTGGATATACTGAAATGAAGATAAATATATGTGGTGTATCAATAGTATTGCGTAATGAGGAAACGGTATGCAAACAATGCATGTGAGTGCGGATCAATCAAGCGAACAATGCATGTGAGTGCCGATCAATCAAGCGAACCCCAGTTCGTGGGATTGCATTAGGCGTGCTTATTATGAATTCCGTTGAAATCCCGGTTTTCATCGGTATACTTCTAGTCCCGGTATTCATTGTTACTATTGGTTGTCGTTGTTACTATCAGCAAATTAGTAAGTTGCTATCAGCAAATTAGAAATAACACGGTGTAATGCATGTTACAAAGAAGCTTAATTGTTGCTCATTATTTTGCCTACTGAACCGTGTATACACGCAAACTAACAAAGCAAACTAAGCAAACTAAGGAAACTAACCAACCTTCCCCCCACCATGGTGGACACCATCACTCCTCTAAGTTTTGAATTGATTTGTTGCTGTGTTGAATGTGTGTTGCGTTGAATCGATACGCGTTGCGTTGAATTGATACGTGTTGCGTTAGTGCGTTGAATTGTAACGCGTTGCTTGCGTTGAATCGTTACGCTTTGTGTGGAATCGAATTGGTGTAACTGATCTAACAATCTGTTCTGTTACATCCAACTTGACCATGGGAATTATTCAAAGAATGCATTGTTTCCAACTGGAGACACAGTCCTCCCTGCATGGAAATACCCATCAATGCCTCAAGGGTATGAGGGGCCTCCATCGCCTCACGCGTTGACGATGCCGGCGGTGTCTTCATGAAGACTGTCAAGATCTGGTTATGCCCAATGGTACTGCATTGGTAGTTGTACAAGTTGATCATTAAGTGAATGATCACCTTCCTCTCCCCGAAGTCATCCAACCTAAGCCTATCCTTCATCCTTGGAAACTGTGCCTGGATCATCCTCATCCCCCACTAAGACATCTGCCTCAACGATGTGGCATCCCTATTCATTAGGAGCTTTTCTCCATCTCCCTCTGGATCTGTCTGGGAACTTTGAATGAGGAAGGGCCTTCCCAATAAGCCAAAAGCTGAATCAACAACCACCTTTGCCCCTCCAGCACAGTCTGTGTCCAATTTCTCCATCTTCTCGTATATCCCGTAGTCGCTGATGGTGCTGTCATGCCACGTGCCAGGGCAATTGAAGGTCCCTATGCGGATCCTACCATCTGGTGCAAAGACAAACACCCCATTCACG